CAAGCTTGTTTTAACTCTGGTTTATTCTGACTGAATGTATTTCTGCAGTCATTACTGGGAAAAGGTAGAGGAGCTCAAATTTTTCAGAGTTTGTGTCTTTTTCTGTCACATCAGAAGGACAATTTGTAAAAATACAAAACAAAACGTATTTTTAAAATAAAAGTTATATACTGCAGCTTTAATCTACACAAACTCCAGCAGCAGCTGGATAAATGGAGATCCCAGAGCTAGACTTGCTTCTGAGCTGCTGCTTCCTAATATATCCAACCAAATCCATAATGACAGTGTCAGTACGGAGATCAAGGTCCTGGTGTGTTTTCAGTGTGGTTTGGACTCAGCTTTTAGCAGATGTTCAGAGCATGTATTCTGGATCTGGGTCCATTTTCCCAGAGCTGCAGCTCTGCACAATCTGGCTCTGACTCGGGTCAGCAGACCTGCTTGTGCCTTGTTTTCCAAAGACTCTCTTAAATACTCTGAATGCAAAACAAATATGAAGATACGCTCTTCTCGCTTCGGTGAGAGAACAGCTCACATTTACTGGAACACGGAGGTTTCCAGGAAATATCCTCTGGGTGTTTTTACCACTAAGATGTTTTAATTACTGCATCAGTTCATCACCTACAGACACATAAACAAAGCAGTTACAAACTTTTGCAGAGGCGATTTGTGTCCTACTGAGGTTTCCCTGAAAACCTTGTTCTTTGTCACGCCGAGCTGAAAGAGAGGCCTGTGTTTTCCTGATGGCTGCAGGATATTCAGTGCTATTGACTCTCATGGTAAATCGAATGTTTATACTGTGTTTTCTGTTACACAGACGTCTATAACCTTTGACACTTTTATGCAAAATTTATTTTTGGAAGTTTTTTTTTCTTGCAGATTTTATTTACTGAAATAAACTTCACCACAAAATTTCCCTCAGCATGTTCAAACTAGTTTAACGATGGCCGTTAGAGGAAACAGTGGCAGAGATCTTTGCCACCAAGCATGAAATCCACTCATGGGAAAGCACCGTGGAAACTTGCCGCAATTTTCTTTTTGTTTTTATTAAGCACAGCTAAATGTCAGCTTCTGTTTATCTGATATGAAATCAAAAGATGTTTACATGCCCATCAAAACAATACTACGACTCTGTGAGCATGACTGTACGAGTGGAGACATGTTGCAGGTTGTTTCCAGGATTTGCACAGAAAAAACAATAGATATATGGAGCTGTCGATGTATCAGATGAGAAAGCATTGATGTTTTGATTCAATCTTGACCGAGTGAGTGAGTGAGTTCATGCTAAGCACCAAGATCAGCACGCGGTGAGAAGTTGAATGGCTAAAGTCTTTTCTCTGCCTACATCTCCCAGAGGATTTCCCTTTTTGAAGATTGTTGAGAAAATGCTCAACAATCTTCACAAAATGTGATGCATACTTCATACTGGAGAACCCTATCAGGATCTCCTCTGATCCCCAAACTGCTGAGACCTTCCCTGACGGTGCACTCAGGTACTTTCACTTTGAGCTTCTGCTGCTATTTTTATCCTACGCTTGCATTTCCTTTCAAAACAAGTGCAGCATGAGTCACTGCCTGTCAAAACAACGTCTCTGACTGAAAAGTGGAGGGTCAGCATGTTCATCAGGGACAAAAACGAGTCGACTCTACCTTTATTCAAGCGGCCCAGCTTGCTGTGCACTAAGCCAGGGACAGTCAGCTCTTCTGCAGTGGAACAAACCAAACGCTGCTTAGGAAGGAGCATGCAGCAGAGACCAGAAAAACCCACCTAGCTGCTTAACAATGAGGCTTTTCTCTGAACGCAGCCGGCCTCAAAACCTGCTTTGTTGCCACTGACACCCCGCTTTCCCTCCCACAGCTGCTATCTGTGGAAAAGATCTGCAGAGCTTGAAACTCTGTTGGATGTGCGGACGGCTAGTGTCAAACATTATCATCTAAAACACTAGGGGTGCACCGACTGAAGCTTTCTGGCCGATCCTTAAAAATCCAGACCTGCCAGTTTCGATTATAGCACATACTGATGTTTTCGTCTGACATGTTGCTAAAGATAGCAAGAAAGTCCTGAGTTGGCAACAGTGGAGTGACTATTGTTAAATGGGAAAGTGGAAAGGGACAGAGGTTGATTTTTTTCTGCTGAAGTTTGACATGTAAGTATCAGCCAATCACCAATCTCCCAAAATTAAGCAAATCAGCACCGATTAATCAGTGCATCTCAGATGTCAAATCAGGAAGATCAAAGTGACCTCGTCTCCGCTGGCGAGCCGGTGGGTCAGCTCCTTCAGGCTGTGCATCATCCGCTCATCCCTGAAGTCATAGGGAAACGTTTCCGTCCACTCCGTCAGCAGCTGCAGAATCTTTGGGGAGATCTTTCGGAGTCTCAGCTGGAAATTCAGAACAAGTGGACAGTGAGCGAACAGCAAAGCAGCCAATGCAGTTTATCAGATGTAAAAGTTCAGCAGACCTTATCCGCTTGAGGATCACTAAGTCGCTGCTGCTCCATGCACAGGTGGCACACTTTGGACATAAGTTCATACGGGTGGATGAAGAGGCGAGAACTGAGCAGGAAGGTAAAGACGTACGTCCTCTGCACAGGAAGGAAAATATAAAAAATATTTACAATCACAAGGCTGAGGATATGTGAGGGTATTTCTCTAACTTACATGGCCTGGTGGCTGTGAAGGAATTCAATGCATGAGAGGAAACAGAGAAAATGAAAGCAGCAACTTTGATCTAAGAGCAAAAGGGTTTCAAAGTAAATTAGGCAGAACATTGCACTCACGTCTGGATAATAGTCCACAGTTGGCACCAGGTGGTGAATGAGGGCCTCCAGGGAGCCGGACGCCAGGTTGTTATCATGATAATAAAGGCCGGGGTAGACTTCCTCCTTGGTCTCGTCGTACAAATTGTTGTTGTAGCCACCGGTGTTCAGCTGCCCCTTGAAAGGTGGAGTCTGCGGCATGTTGTCCTGTCCAGACAAAGGGAACAAACATCAGAACAGACGGGCAATGCTTCTCCGCCTTTCCTGGGGTGAGTTTAGCCGCAGACGCTGGTGCAGCAGAGCAGCCAACAAATCCAAAATAACTCCAGACTGCAGGAGGTTTGTTTAAGAAAATGGGGGTTGCACTCGTTCCCTGAACAAAGAGTTTCCACACATGGACATTTCTGGCCTTATGGACTTCAGCTGTGTTTATGTGGAAAAACAACAATTAAGAAGCAAATATAGGTAAGGAGACAAATAGAGGGAACTCTGAGGTTAAACAGATCCTAACATCAGCCCAGAGATGTGCAGCCTGGACTTAATGAAGCCTACCAAAACAGGAGTAAATCTCAACTCAGACCAGACACTGAGGTTTGGGTTAAGGAGGTTATTCTGGTCTATAAACCAGAATTTTTTCAAAGTCTTTTTGGAAAGAGGTGGAGGTGCAGAGATGCTGTGTGCATTAAAAAAATCTAAATCTTGACTTTTTCACTTGAGGATTTTGGCCCATGTGACAAAAGGTTTGATCAATGCCATCTCCTGGGAAACATGAGCTCTTAACCTTGAAAATGTGAACAGAATTGGTCCAACAAGTTGAAGTATAACCACTGTTTCCTATCAACAAACATAAAAATGGAACAATTGGCTACTAAATAAGAAAATCTAATTAACAGGAAAAGTCTTTCATGCTGAATCCTTTGGGACTCACAGATTACCGTTGGTAAATAAGCCTCTGTTAAAACATTCTTGAACGCAAACAGAAAAACATTGAGAGCAGAAAAATGTGAGGAACCTCATGAGATTCAGGGCCAATCTGCAGCCCTGCAGGAGGGCTTGACTGTTGTTTCACCCTGAAATCATCACGGTGCGATCACACTGTCTGCTCAGTTCCTCCGCGGTCACGTGTGTGTGTGTGTGTGTGTGTGTGTGTGTGTGTGTGTGTGTGTGTGTGTGTGTGTGTGTGTGTGTGTGTGTACGTGACTCAGACTGTGGAGGAGAGTCGGTGTGTGCCTGTGGGCGGGTGGGTTGGTGTGTGTGTGTGACCAAAGGAAGCAGAGAACATTGAGGAGTGTGTGTTGTCAGATGTAAAATCCTCGTGTTTTCAGGCAGTCGCAGCTTTGACAGTACCTGTGAAAGAACAGGATGTGTGCGGAAACGACGCCACTGGATGTTTTTAAACTGACGGACTGACGGCTCTGATGTTTGGGCGATAAATCGACTTTATTGATTACTCAAATTTTTGGTGTTTGCAGATTTCATTTTTGGAAAATCTACATGTTTTTTTTTCACTAATGCACCACTTGGGTTTTCATAGGTCAGAGTGACGTCAGCGCACTCAGAGCCGCCATCTTGTTTGACTAGCATGTTTTACAGCTGCTATTTATTGGATTTTGACTTCATCTCAAGTCTACAAAAAATGTAAGAGTCAGGAAAAGATAGTTTTTAATTTTTCAAACAAAGATACTTGATTATTTACAATACTTTTAAAAGACACTATTTAAAAATATCTTATGCCATTTCTTTTTTGAAAAGAAAGCAAAACAAAAGCAAAGAAAAAAAACAAGAAAATTGAATAAAAGTGTAAATCGGATCTGGTGTGATCATCCCCACACGTGAGGACGAGAAAAGGTTTTTCAATTAGTTTGGTTTATTTTACACAGTGCAGTGTGAAAGCAAACCGCAGCTGAAAATGGAACAAATTTTGGTCTCCAATCAAACCGAGTCCATCTGACTATCAGGAGGGAAAACAACCTTAGGACGTTTTAACCAGAAACTTTAGCCTAAAACTCAAACTATCCATTTTGCTCTGAAGAGTTGACCTTTGAACCTGGCCCCACACACAGGGGGGTCCTTCTACCCTGGAGGTGGAGGAGATCCAACAACCCCAACCCCGGTCCGCCCTCACACACCCGCACCGCCCAACAATATGCTGCCCTGTGGCCGCCCGCCAAGTGTGAAAGCCTTTACGGCTGACGCACTGCAGAGCTGCCAGGCATCGATTCATGGATGCCAGGAGGAATAAAAACTGCACCTGCCCACACACTGAGACAAACAGCCCAAATAAATTCAGGGGTTTGTTGTGCGGCCAAGCAACAAAGGCTTAGAAAAACCTGGGGAAAAAAAGGCTTGTAAACATCAGCTGACCAAATCAGATTCAGTTGATTCTGCTGAGCAGGTGGATAGATACCAGAACCTTCCTGTTTTTATTCATGAGCACTTTTTAAGCTCACATCAGGCCTCCTGAACAGTCCCCTTCATCCAAACACATGCCGCTCTTTAATGCACATGTGCACAAACAAACCACCGCCATTATTCAGGCAGACAAGCGTGGCCATTTCCATGAGAATGGCGGGTGTTGTGGAGTCGGAGCGCAGCGGCCTCGGCATCTGCCGCACCATGTGGCCTCGACTCAAAGACGAGGGCATCACGAGTCAGACGGGCGGAAGAGGAGGGATGCTCACACACAAAGTCAACAGTTGTGAGAAGTTTGTTTACTCCTTGGAGGGTTTTACTGGCCATAACTTACACGAAGGGACACTTCTGCACTGCGCAGCAGCCAAGCTTGATAGCAGATGCACAAAGAAGTCGTAAAACTTGGGCTTCATGAGAAGAGAAAAGCAGCAGTAGCAGGTGATTGAATGCTGAGAACGTCACTGTTCCTCGTTTCCCAGCTGGGATCTGAACACTGAGCTCCTCTGAAACGCAGCAGGTGAAGACTCTGCACATCCTGCAAACGATCACACTGACTGCTTAGCTCCTAAACGGGTTTCACTGTTTGCATTTTGAGCGTTTTCTGTCTTTGTGGTTCTCAAACTGGCAAAAGAACCACAGATGAGTGTCGACACACAAATTAGCTGTAAATTAAGTGGTTAAATGAAAAATCTGTAAAATGTGCCAATTTTTATCCGATGAATTGTTTGAATAATCGATTGATGAAATAACTTGAGAAATATGGTTACAAAAATAAGAAGAGGTTTCCTTGTCACCTTTTCTGAATGAAGCCTGTTTATTTGTCCAGTTCCAGCAGCTGCAGCCTTCCTGAGGAAAACAAACCCAGGATGCTGAGGAGCAGAAGACAAGCCTGTGATTTACACATGGCTTCCAGGTGCCGGCCCGGGCGAGTCCGCCGGTCCGGCGCGAACAAACCCTCAACGCTTCACTGCTGGTTCAGAGCGAAGCCGCCGGCTGGGTGGTAGATGGAGGTAAACAAACAACATGCCAATAAAATAAAAGGATATGGACGGGGGTGCTTAGGTTGAGTAGGTGATCTTAATTATAGCCTAACCGGCTGAGTGTGCAACCATCTGTCACAGACTGCTGAGGAAGTCTGGTTTGGACTTAAAAACAAGAAATTCTGCTTGCTGAGTTTAATGGTGACTGTATACAAAAAACTCATTTCAGTCACGTCAGGTTTTTGCCACATTTTTCTAACGTTTGTATAATAATTTATGGTAAGAAGAACCTGAAATCAAACTAAGACTGTTGCAGAAAGAACTCGATTCTTTTGAACGAGTTCCCCCTGAGGGCTGGAGAATCATTAGGGAGTAAATGCTCAGGTAATTTACCCCTGAAAATGGGTGGGGCAGCTCCAGATGGGAGCCTGGTCTCTAACTTGGGCCAAAACAACGATTCTGTCTGAGGCTCTTAATGACCCTCAACACACATCACCACGTCAGAGGCAGGAAAACTGCAGAGGAAATCCTCACCTTAACCTCAGAGATGAAGAGGGGAAACCCTCAACTGATTCTTTTTCAAGAACCAGACAGAACTGAGGACTGGAGGTCAGCAGGAAGCCTTAGGGATCCTGAAGGGAAACGGTCTGAAATGTGTCTGTTCTTCCGCTAAAAATAGATTCATGTAGCTGGGCATTGGGGGGAATGTGGTGGAGACACTTTCAGGGATCCTGAGTGCATAATCAACACACACACACACACACACACACACACACACACACACACACACACACACACACACACACACACACACACACACACACACACACACACACACACACACAACGCCACTCTGCTGTGTAAACACTGACAGGCATGAGGAATCTCACTCATCTGTGGCTGGAGGAAATGAGGCAGAGATAGGGCTAGAAGAAGCCAGAAGCCTGAAGCTGAACTGAGGTCAGAATTATTTTAAAGGGAGACTTGATGCAACATTTTCCACTTTTTCACTTCCATTGGGGTTTCTGCTGCTTCGAAAAACACCCCACTAGTGTTTTTGACAATTAGTTAATGTTTTTTGATGTCTGGAAAAGAAGCCTTTTAAAATCCTTCAGCATGAAACAAGCAGTTACTTAAAAATCCAGCATGTCTGGTCAGCTGGTTTTATCGCTGTACGTTTAGGTGTTGATTTAAAAATAAGAACCTGAGATGTAACACATCAGTTCTCCATCTATCAGCAGCCTATCAGTCTGGGAAGTGAAGCGCAGCCACTGATTGCTCCTGCACCATTTCCTGAGCTCATTTATGACACTGATGGGCGCTGTTACAGCAACAACGTTTAAAGTGGGGAAACGCCAGCAGCTGCTGCAGCGAGCGAGAAAAATCACAGCTTCCATCCAACAATCTGTCACCTGGCATCATCAGTTCCCAGCAGGATCATTAACCCCAAACAGACGACGCAGAGAGGCGCAGCAGACGCAACCAGCTCAGGTCGGGACGTCAAACATCAGAAACTTCTCAGTTTCTGTGAAATAAAATAAACTGAAACCAGAAGAAAATGTTTTGTTTTTCTGAAACCTGTGGCTCCACAGATCAATGTGGGCCCTCCAAAGCCAATTCATTAGCAAATATATAAAGTTTTCCATGTATTTTTATGAAATATCTGCACATTCTCACAACACAAAGTTCCTCGTTACACAACAAACCATCATTTTGATTTCAACACAGAAATGAAGCCATGATTATTTCACTGTCAAATAAAAAAATACTACAAACTTTCAAAGCTTCATTCTTTAAATTATTTTCAATAAAATGCCAGAGAAAGAGCCAGAATGACAAGATTTTTCTCCAGGTGTATTGAAGAATGAAGCAATACAGCGCTGCCCCTCCCCCACCTGCTGCTAAGCACTGGCTGGGAAAAAGTCTACTGAGGCAAATTCTGGAAATTGGAAAGTTTTCCAGTTGCAAAAACAAAGAAATGGAAACTATAGGACCACCATCCATCACTTTACGATAACATAAACAATAACTCTAATGGATTTTGTGCCCTTAACTTCTGGAGATCTCAAAAGTCCCCCCCCCCAAAAAGAAGCAATTATAGTAAATAAAAATAATCTAAAAAATGAAGAGATTAATACAAAAATCAAAGAAAGTTAACCAAATATGTTGCTGAAAAGAAATTCATTCAGACCTTAAGACTTTTGGCGAGTTGAAACTATTGTTAGCCTGACTAACTATACAACTAATAACACATTGCTATACTTTAGTTACTTTATGAAGAAAAAACCCGTAGCAAGGTAAAGTATTCTGTACTATATGGACTTAAAACATGTTTATTCTGTTATTTTACTAAAGGTTACGTTTCAACATTAAGTTTGCGATAAATATTGCAAAAGTGATAATTAAGAGAGGATGAATTATCTCAGTAGCCCTAGAAATATTCATCCATCATGCTACGCATTTTTGTTTTATATTTTTGCATCAACTTAATGATAAAGTGTAATTATTGTCATTATTATTGGATTCTACAATCTCATGACCAAGTTCCATATATATTTAGTGCCAAAAAGTAAAATTGCTCCAGTGATGTGTAAATAGAAGAGACTACATCAGATCCTTGTACCACCAACCAACACCTTGCTGAACCTGAAACAATGAGCCATTCAGGTGATCCTCAAGCATTTGCACAATTTCAGCCGATCAGAGTTCAACCAAATTACCAATAAACGGATTAAACCTGTCAGCACATTGAGGGAAAACCCAATCCAAGCTCCTAATGCCGAGCAGCGGCACGGAAAGCCAAGGAGCACAAGCCAGAGGTATTGGAGAGGGATGCGGGATTAACTCCACTGATCCCTCTGTCTCTGCAGGAGAGTATCAGGCAGGAGGGAATCCTCTTAGCCACAAGGTGCAGGGAGGTAAAAATAGCCGGGAAGAGACACAGATTTTAAACATCCAATACCGGAGAGAAGAAGTTGTTTAGGTAGGAGGATTAATTGGGGGGAAAAGGTTGAGGTTAGTTTGGAAAAGGCGCAAAGCTGGAGCGCATTGCCTGGAAACAGGACAAACCAAACTGCTGACTGAACAGGTGCGAAGTAGAAAGAAAATCCGTCATGACGCAGGAGTTCAGTTACACAGAACCTCAGGCGGATTCGGATCTGCGCTCCATCCATCCGACACCTGCGCGCAATTCGGACGCGCTCCAAACGCAAACCCAAATCCAAACTCAAAATCAAACTCACCTTAATGAGCAGGAACCGATCAGCTCTGAGCTTTTCTTTCCCCCACAAAAAAACAAAACAAAACAAAAATGACTGAAAACAAATCCTCAGCTTGCAGCACTTCTTTCACATGTGAATAAACCGCCCGCTGTCTCACTGCAGCATCGTTCACTTAAAGCAGCGAGAGGAAAAAAATCTTTATTCCGGCTTCAAATTCAGAAAAATGGTCAGGAGAGCCGGGAAAAGTCCAGACGCATCAAATGGTAAAACCTCCGCAAGTTGAGTTTGTCCGCCGCCTTTTCTGACATCTGAGCGCAGAAAGCAGCGATCAGCCTCAAGACTTCACAGACACACACACAGAGAGAGAGAGAGGCAGCAGCCAATCACAGAGCAGAACACACCCTGTAAATCCCCCCATCCAACCCCCCTCCCGCGCTTCTTTCATTTTCATTTCCCTCTCCCTTTCTCCATCTGCAGCCTCCAGAAGTTTCACTTCTTCATTCCTTCTGTTTTATTTATGGGAAATTTATTTAGAGGCAAAAAAATAAAACGATAAAAAAATCCAACTTCCAGCTTCCGACCTGACAGGAATTTCTGTAGGGGGATTTATGAAACTACATGCAGAAATTAAACCAATAATCTGCTCTTGTGGTTCCAGCTCAACACAGATCTGATGGTTGTTAATAATATATTCAATAAATTCAGAGTTTATTTCTGTTAGTTATGATGATTAGGCCCCACAGCCAATGAAAGTTGCAAATGATGTCTCTCAGATCATTTAAAAACTGCAAAAGAATAAAATGCAGAAATGTATTAAAATGCTACATGCACGTTGTTATGTTGTGTCACCTTTGATAACACACTGCAAAAACACAAAATGTTACCAAGTACTTTATCTTAGTACACTTAAAATAACTTAGAAATAACTTTTCAACAAGATACAGGAATTTGTTTTAAGTTAATAATTAGAAAGTAGCAGATTATTTCATTTACAAAATATATATCATTTAATAAATGAAATAATCTGCCAGTGGAAAAATTACTTTTTAATCAATATTAAGGAATTCTTAACTTAACAAGATCTTACATTGAAAAGATTCTTGTCAGTTAGTTTTGTCTTATTTCAAGTTTAATAAGATATTTACACTACAAATTAGACTAAAATACTTTTTTTCATTTTTATTTATGTTATTGTTTGTTTTGCAGTGCAGTATTTGTGATAGCTAGCAATCATGACGCCTTCGTCTTTGCAGAATTGTTTTTGTTTTTCTCACATTGGAGGATTTCTGAGCATCAATGACCTATGTGTGGTCAGTTCTCAGTCAGATGTAATCTTTAAATTTGACTAGGCCACTTCAAAACTTCCATTTTATTTTGGGTTTTTGATGAGCTGGAGTACTTTGAATAATTTTTCTGCTGGATGGCCCAAACCTTTGTGACCTCAGGGTTGTGAATTCATAATCTTAGTAAATCCGTCCCATCATTCCACCACCACCTTGTTTAACTGTCAGTTTACAGCAGATTAAATGAGATGCTCACTTTTCAGAAAGTCCCAGGTTTCTCTTATCAATCCACAGAATATTTTCCCAAAAGTCTTCAAGCTGAGATAAACCTTTGTGTTCTTTACGATGGACTCTATTATAGTCCATCCAGTCATGAACTCTGACCTTAACTTTGATTTCCTGGATGAGTCACTCATGCGCTCATGGAGTCATTTTTAGTGGGTCAGTCAGTCACACCTGAGAAGGTTCTCCACTCACTGATGTTATTCTGGAGACACAAAGCCTTAGAAACTACTTTTTAAAACCCTTTGACTCTGACAAGAGGCCTTTTACTTTGTTCACTTTCTTTAGCTTGTGTTTTGAGTTGGTTTATCCTACTTCATGCTGTTAGACAGGTTCTGTTAAGTGATTCCATGATTCCTCCGGAATGGGAGTGTCTAATGACACTGAACCAAAAAATGTGTCCAGTTACAGTAAAACCAGGGTTTAACAACATCGACAATTATATTTTGACAGAAAATATACATATTTGTTTTGGTTCGTTGTGTAATTCTGCTTGGAGTTTTGCTGGGGTATTTTTTCCTGAATGTCATTGGAAAACCTTTTTACACAGAAACAGTTTCTGGAGATCTGAAACAACAGTATCAGAACCTGGTTTCAGACGAAAATATTTCCATCATGTGACCTTCTGAGAATGATGACGTCACAGACTGACAATACATTGACACAAGACAAAAAACACATGGTAAGATTTTGTGTTTTCATAGTGAACCTTCACTTTCTAAGAAAAAAATACAATAAAACCTTGAAAACTAAGCTTTTCAAGCTTCGCTTATAATATAATATAATATTAAAACTGCTTCCTTGCTGACGTTCATTTGGGTACATAATAGAAGATGACAAGCGCCTCTAAGTGGCGACACATAAAAGGAAGCTGCCTTTTGTAGAGTAATGAAAGACCTTGGCTCGTAGTGAATGAAAGCCCAGAATGAGACTCACACAATGAAATTGTAGAAAGCAATAAACATGCAAGCCGTAATTATGTTTAAATGGCGGCTGTATAAATCCTCTGCTGCTGTGTTCGCAGGTCAGTCTTCTGTGTGGCTGGGTTCAGAAATGAGGCAAAACTGGGAGAAATAAGAAACTGCAAAATGTTGCAAAGGTTTTATTTTCTCTTTCTGCTGCTGAGGTTTTATTTGTATTCAGCATTAGCGAACACATTAACTAGACTCCTCAGATAAAAACTGAGGCAGGTAATTCAAAGCTGAGGAGAAACGTGAAATAAATCTGAAATCTGTCGGAAACAGTCGCTGTTGGCCGACTCTCTGTGTTTCCCAGCATAGTAATAAGCCTTGCTAAATTAACAGCAAATTTTATCAACATTCAGAGTTGTTTAAGCAAAGATTAATGCATTTCTTCATTCTGGGTAGGTTGACAAACAAGACTTCTACATCCTAAACAGCTTCAGGATGTAGAAAAACCACATAAGTTTTCTACACTACAAAAACAAAATCTTACTAAGTATTTATGTCTAGTTTTCAATGGAAATATATTAGTGCACTAGAAATAAGACAAAACTAACTCAAAAGTACATTTTCAGAAAGATATAAGAGCTTGTTTTAAATAAATAATCTCTCTATATTGATCAAAAAATACTAGTTGTCAGTAAAATAATCTGCCAGTAGTATTTTTCTTCAATATTCCTTTCTGAAGTTACTTCATCAACTGCTTCTGATGACATTTCAAATCTTATCTCATAAGAAACATTTTCAGAACAGTTTTAAAGCTGAGGAGAAATAACGACAATAACGACTGTTTAAAACTTTAGAAAATGATTACACATTTTCACAATAACGACATAACGACTGTTTCAAAACATATATATAAAAAAAAACAACATTGTAATATGCCAAAATAAAAAGGTGCATTTATCCAGACTCTTAAGATTCCACTATGTTCAGGTTTTCATATGAACTGAACAGCACTCAAACCGTCGCTGCTTACAAACCCGAAGAACGTTTCCACGTTTCCAGCCCTCAGGGCAGCCGAGGTTAGAGGGCTCAATGAAAGATTCACAACTCGTCTGTTCAGGTAACTACCTGAAGCGTCACTCATCAAACTCACTTCCTGGCACAACGTGTTAAAGCAAATCAGAGCCGTCATTGTGATGCTAAAAGTAGACGGTCGTTCTCACAAGGAAGGGGAGACTGATGGGCTGGATGCCCATCCTGCAGGAGAACAGAGAAAAACTGACACACTCA